CAGTTTTTATTTTGCCTAAAATCGATCCAGCATCCAGAGTCGGAGGTAATCATCGTTCAAACATTCGACGAGCGTGCCTGCACGAAGCTAAAACTGAGTCGCGCGATCCCCGATATACATACACACATACATATGTATATATTATATCTGTACGGTGTTTCGCTTCTCGCGATCGACCACGACGACACAACCTCGGCGTCGTCAACGAGCAATCCACATTACATAGCAACGACCCAATTGTATCCGAGCAAAGTTAAGTACGAAAGGACACGTGGCTACGTGATTTACGGAATATCCGCCGGCTATGATCGATCGATCTGAATACTCCGGGTATGCATGGTAAAGGATGAACCCGGAGAAGGAAGTGGAAGAAGAGGGAGCGACGTTGGAACGGTCGATTCTGCGCTGCTTAAATGCCTGCGACCCTCGTAAGTACTTGATATTCGAACGACAAGCCCGCTATTCGAGAGATTGAGCGAAATCCGTTTCACTGATAAAAACTCGCCGTGCTCGCGCACTTTGTCAGCTGCGTGTTCCGTGAACTAGTCAGGTAGTAGCTCTACGTATATCCGGCAGAAGAAAATCGTTTCGCCGAGTAAGTGACTAAAGAGTAAAGATATGTTCTCGCCATCTGCCACATTTCTCCGAGGTCACTTTGCTCTGAAAATTTTATTCTCCTAAGTTATATCGTGTCGACTTATTCGTATTGTTGAGAAGGTCTGTGTTAAGCCGACCCTTCGAGACCGACCAAGGCTGATAATTCAAAGGCAATTAATAACATTCCGCTCGTTTTCACGATCACGTCGCCAACGATGTCAATAAATCAAAATTGACACAGCTTATATATAATATTCGAAAGACTGGATCCGATCTTACTGATTCCTCTGCCTCGATTTCCTCATTTTTCATATTTACACCGATCGTGCTGAGATTAAATTTCTACGTTTGCGCGTTCTCTCCCAATGATGTATTTTTGAATGATATATCGCGTATACTCTGGTTGAAATTCCACGCTGAAGGATAAATGACAAGCGGTCGATAAAAATGCACAGACGAGAGAGTGAGTGTGTGTATCAGTTTACAATTTCCGTTTGCATTAGGATTCTGTAGAATTCTTCGTGAACAGAAGATACGACTTGGAGAAAATACTGCTACGACTTCCGTTGTTAAACGGATGAGCCACGAGCGGAGCGCGACGAGAGCGAATCGTAGGAGGAAAAACGCGCGTGCGGCAAACGGCGAAGGATGCGCGTGAATCGGCATGTGATATACCAGATAAGGCAAAGTCGAAGGGCCGAGAGATCGATGCATCTTTGCGTTATCGTGATTTTGATTAAAGAAAAATGCAGCGTCACGTGCCGTATCAAATGCCATCTTGAGTTCTTAAAAATTTTGTTGGGAAGAATATATGAAACAGCATGTTGCGCGAATCCTCGACCGGCAAAACGTAAACGGTAAAACACGGACCAGCAAATATGCTCGTTTCGAAAATCCGTTATCGGCGAAATTGAGCTTACGTTTGCCGGTGGAATATTTCGTGTACTGGATTTGGCTTGAGCAACGCAATAATGCATCTTGTAGATGTAAGAACAAAAGTCGCTTGGCGCTTCGGCCGCGGTTTGTAAAACTCTTCGAGCCGACATCTTCCATTTATTGTTGGGACTGAAATGTAGGACGCGCGAGCTTGCGGGAACACCGAAGAGGAAAGAAGTCGAAGCAGCACCGAAAACCGTGTAGAAAAAAAGACGGATAAATCTTCTGGAAAAGAACAAGGCCTCGCGATACAACGTAGAAAAAGGCCACAAGAACGAGAGCACGATCGTATGTATGTGTGACGGGTGCAGTAGTGTGAGGCTGCGTAGCCGACACGACACAGTCAAAGTATCGGCGAATCCAGCCAGAGAGAGAAAGATAGAGCGAAAGCGAAAAGTAAAAAAGCTTGGAAAACGAGCCTGAAATATTTGGCATTCGATCCGGTCCTTCTTTTCAGTTTCTATCCGTCTATCCATCTCCAATATTTTGCAACTTCGACATTTCGAAAAGCTTCGTGCTTTTCGACTAACTGGGCACCGTATCGCCTGGTTTAAGGAAAGAAAGAGAAGAAAATGCCGCAGATCGGTTTCAGCACTCATCTTAGAAGCAGAGGAAACTTTTCCCAAAGAACGAGAAAGCGTAAAATCGATTATTCGATTCGAGCAACAACTCGGTACGCACGGTAAATGCGGCTCAGGTTTTTGGAGCTGGATCGATCGAACGAACTGTTTCTTTGCGTGCCAATTGAGCAATTGTGCGTGTATCCTTGGATTCGAGTTAATTAACCGACTTCAAGTGCTATTTCAAGTGCGCGTGCTTCAACGAGAACAATTCGAACAGCACGGTTTTCGTACGGAAGCTCGGGCAATTAAAGTCGACGAAGAAGAACAATCATTGGCGCAAGGCAAAAATCTAAGAATCGCCAGGGGCTATGATAATTTCGAATAGCTTCAAGAAATTAAAGTTTCTCAAGACTAAGACGTTGTCACAATTAAAGCGTATCGTTTCAAACGTTCGTTTATTACGCTCCCTTAACTTTTGCCAATTCTCCTTTCTTACTCTCGGATAATAAAATAGTACGATGAATTGGATAATGAAAAATCTACGCGGATGTATGCGCTTCTTTCACGTGCAATCATTAATCCGATCGTAAACCGACAATTCGGAGTACTAAAACTTGTTTGCGTTATCGATCGACTCAATAAGTCGAACAATAAGTTTGAATCGTTATGCATGAGATATTTGACGAGAGAAACAACTCTATTCGTGGATGCGAAGAAGACGCTATCTTCTCTGCAGTTTTCTCGTCGCTAATGAAAACATGGTTCGCTCTTTAACGAACCCTGTAAAGTATTTTGTAAATCCACGCTTGGCTTTTTTAAGCAAGCTTACCGTCGATCCCATAACGTTCGATAACATACTCGATTAAGTAGCTATTTTGCAAATATATATATATGTCGGAGATGAAAGGACATCGGGGCCTTTCTTTTGGAAATTTTGGAAGACCCTCAAAACTTTAGTCTAGACTTTTCATTATAGCAGTACTTGAATAATAAAATTGAGAAGTAGTTGTTTGTGATTTAATCCGACTATGTGTGCCCGAGAATTGTGACAATGGGCTTAAGCTCAAAGTGACATAACGGGTCGCTGAACGTAGCTACGGTCACGGGATGGACGTTTTACCTAACAGACGTATGGAGTAATTGTATAGCTCTCCTTAAAAATATAGCGGACCCGAGGAGTACAGAGAGGTACGGAGAGGAGTATATAAGCGCAGTTCGACTTGGACTGAAAAAGTTAGTTAGAAAGTTAGAGTTAAAGATTGGAGTTCTACTTGTGGACGAGTTACACATGAATTATGGACCAGTGAGAAAGCACATTTGCTACCCCGTTGACCGTAGATTCGTTGTTGAGTCTAACATCATTGCCATCCGCATTCCGAGTATCTAATTACCACGGTTACTTGCCAAATTCTGTCATGATCATAATTGTACTAAATTGTAAATATCTTCGCTCTTGCATAACAACAATGTCTAATCCAAAGAAAAATTCGTTACACGCCCCTAACCCTAATGACAACTCCACGTATATATACGTAGTATCTAAATAGTCTAGAGTAAGGACAAGAAAGGATATTCTATTGGAAGTGAAGTTTAGTTTTATTTTAACAAGCAATACCCAATGCAAAAACTAACTACAACATCTTCGTACGTCTTATTCTCACACTCGGCTCACAACTTCTGTCTTCCTAGGTCAAAAAATGCTAACCCTCGACCTTCGCACCCTTCTCCCACTCCTTTACTCATTTAGCTTTGACGTCACCAGGGTATGCACTTTTATTTGCACTCTCTCTCTTTCTCTCTTCCCCAGCACTCTTACGATTCTTAGTTTATACATTAAATTTACAACTTGTACTATCCCGAGAAAACTCGAACTTAAACATATGATGGACCAAGCGTATACCCCCCTTTTCTTTGATATTACATATACATATCAAGGATCGATCAACGCTATCGGTTAACGTAATACCGATTGCGCCGGTGATTACAAATGAACTCTTCCTTCTTCTTATTCGTCGTTGCGTGCGATGCGGCAGTAAACGGTTTTACAAACAAACTGATAAACGGACAACGAGAACACGAGATTCGTTCACGAATCAATCGATTTCGTTTATACACGCAACTCGACATGGACACGATAGTTCAAACAACGAGCATCGCGTAAAACGAATGACGCTGAAAATCTAATTACAGTTAGCATAAAGGGGATTAACATAACGCGCGCAAGCTGTTTAAACTTTCAGGCTGGTGGACGCGACGCGATAGCCGGTCGGATAGGTATCAGTCGCGAGATATCGATCTCTCTTTTCCGATCGAAATATTTTTTTGTGCTGCCGGTTGAACAGTCGTGGCAAACGGACCGCGAAAACAACGAAATTACGGGAACCGAATTAAACCGGCCGTTCGATCACGGTGGTTTTCTACGTAGATCGTCAATTATTAGTCCAGTAATCAAGGGGAGTGCGATTTCCAATTTTCAGAGTCCGCGTCTGTGTCATGAATTCGAGGAAAGCAGCGCGATGCAGTCAGCGACGGACGACTTGAAAAACTGCCATTACTTTGATTAACCGTCATATTTTCGAAACGTCGATTCCTGGAAAAATGCTTGCTACAATTGAAATTGCATTCGTTTCAACGGCAGCTCTTTCTACCAGCGACCAAACGTGATGATGAATTGAAAATCGTTATCGTTCTTTTTCGACGTTTCAAGGAACAAATTTTCTTCCTCTGTCAATTAACAAAACGCGGTTCGATCGTTTTTTTTCAGAATTACCACTAAACAGATATTCGACCGTAAGAAACAGATCAAATTAGAAGTTATGAAGAACGTTAGGGAAGAGATTACTCGTATCGATGACGATAAAGAAGAACAGCGCGAGCGTTATAATGGTCGAAAACCAGGAATAGCGTCAGCAGCGTAAACAACAACGCAATAAAGGTGTTCGTACTGCCTTTCAACGATTAATTCGGCTTAAATTTGATCGAACCCGGGTCATTAAAATGTGTTTGTCGTAACCGTCGGCTAAATCGCGCAACGCTCGAAAATAATTTGATTAATGCTCGAGCCCATGACTCGTACGCTCGACCGAATAACATCGAATGAATGGCCGCTATCGGTCGTACGTATCCTCGATTCGCGTCAGACCCTAATCAATTCGCTGTGTATTCACGCGCATCTTGTTTATAAAGTTTTCACTGTAGTCCAGCATGGCAGTTATGATGAATAATGATAATTACCGAAAGCGAAATGGAACAGAGGTCAGGCGTTTCGCGGTGATACCTCGGGAAATCATAGATACCTGTCGCTCACACCGAGTTCGTCGTGCAACGGAACTAAGTTGACATCGGCCGAGTATTAATCACTCCACTGACGTCACTTCGCTGAAATATCTAGACAAGATTAATCGTCTGTTTTTTAACGCTCGCAGCTTTATTTTTATGATTCTATCATCGTGTCCTATGCGACAGACCGGCACTCGGACGAAGCCAATGAAAATGAAAATCATACCGGCACCGAGAAAAAGTTGCTATAGAACGCGAAAGGTAAGTAAAGTACTTGGTCGTTTTACCGTGCTTACAGTGGATCGTACTATTCAACAACCATTTCCCTTTATTCAACGTTTATCTAACGCTCTTTGCAGATCCATTCGACGAACTCATATACATTCACAACGCGTCAGGAAAAACCTCGTAAAACTATCGTCAGACCCTCGTTATCAATATCTCGCCAGATTGCGCAAACTACACCGTCGTAAATGGTTACAGGTACGTCGCTTCCGTCTATATATCGATAACAAATACGCGAATGTGCTCACCACGACTGGCAATAACGTTGACGAACGCGCTACTCAAACGTGCGAACGAGTTTATAGCGCTTCAATTTATATACAATTTGAAATTTGTATTTTATGGAGCAGAGGAGATATTAGTGTTGAAGAAAGACAGCGAATAATACGAACACCATCTTATTGCTGGAATCAATAAATTAATTAAAATATCGCGTATCGTGTAGTCTCACGTATTGTAACTCGCGCAATGACGACGACAATATTTTACGTTATCGCGAGCTATACGCAACGTGTTTATATACGGTGGGACGAACAAGTAGACGAATTGGTAGATCGTTGAATTAGTGGGACAACGGCGTTCGATGATATCGTCTAGTCTAGGAGTTGGAATTCATTTTCACGGCAGAGCGATAAAGACGCAACGATCTTCTGTAATCCTTTTCTCATTTTCACGGTTCAAGAAGGTCATCTATGTCGTTTGTCAAGTGAAAGCACGGTGTCACGTGCAAAGGCTGCGTGTCGTCGCGTCGAGGTGGTTTTCCCGGACGTAGAAAACGGTTTCAGGATAAGAGAGTGCATTTTATGTGTCGCCCTCATATTTCGAAGGGAGTGGAAGGGTGGAAAAAATTCGAGATAAAAAGAATCGAGCAAATTGATTTTTCTTCTCAAAGACTTGGAATCCTAACGCCATAGAGGGAGGAAGGGAGAAAGAGAGAGGGCAGCTTTGCCATCGAATAATATCTCTGTGCTTTTATCTCGGCATATGGATGCTCTGTTACTGGACGTTCTAAATAATCAGCTTACTTAGCAGATATAACACACATAAAGTACGTTGTTTCGCTTTAAGAAATCGCACAAAATGTTCGCAATTTGATCGCGCCGCAAGGTGCACCGTTTCTAACTCGTTTTACGAAAAATTTCGCTTGAATCTGCGCGATGAGAAAATGCTATGCGTCTATGCAGCAATTAATACGTTGCATTATACGATATGTACATACGTGTAATTTAACTAAGGAGATAGATACTAACAAACTCGTTAACAGCAAGTTACGCAATTATACCAAGTGAGAAACTTGGCGTAGGCGTGGAGCTTGTTTAATTGACATAATATGTAATATCTTACGTAACGAGTTTCTACTTTGGACTTGGGAAATCGAAGGCCATTGTGATGTAACGAAGATGAACGCAAACTCGAAGCTCGGTGAGTTATTAAATTTCAATCGTACCTTGGCGTTATTAAAAATCCTTTCGTATCGTATATCCCATTGAATTTAATCCACCCTTTCCGTACCTTGTTTCATTGACCTCCACTTCACGTCCACGTCACATTCCGAGTGACTACGCGCAGTCATTCGCGGTTTTTGGGTCAACATTGAAATCCACTTCTCTGGCCTGGAACTCGAGCGTAGTGTATCGTCGACTACTATCAGAGGTAGTACCATAATAACCGGGATTCATTAGCGAATCGAAGAAAAGATCGATGATTTCGAAGAAGACAACGCGCCATCAACGAGTGTTCACGAATTGGGAAACATTCGAATTTCAGTGGAACTTTTTAGAAACGTTGCTTAGAGGGGAAAGATCGTCGAAACGTTTCGTTCGACGTGCAGCTCGAAAAATTGAAAGCATCGTTGCAGCTGCCGATGACAGACGCGAAGAACTGAATACGAAGCCTTGTATGTGACTAATGATTCGGAATGCACTGGGTTATCAGTAATTCGTATCCCGCAGCGTATGCTGATTGCGTTGCTACGATTGACATTGCCAATATGCTTCATTAAACTTACTTGTAAAACGACAAGAACGTCGATATCGATCTTTCAGATGAGCTTTCTTTTCTTGCCGCAGACGTGAAATAGTTACATTTTTCACCGCACGCTTTGATACGCAAAGGTGATGAAAAATTACAAAATTATTTGAAACTAGTCATACCGCCAGATACGAACAACAACAATTCAAAAATTCTATCTATAACGAATGAGCTCGAACGAGGATGTTGGTAATAACGTAAAAACACGGAAAGAAGACCGAATATCGTAAACGACCACGATTTACATATTCATGGCAATTATTGTAAATTATTTCTCTTGAAATCAGAATCAGTCGACAGCTAACATTTGTCGCAATGAATAAAATGATTTTCTTTAATTCTATTTAACATCGACCGCGTATATCTAAATATTTGTCGCTGACGGAATTTCGTAAAAATCTTTCAGCCGTTAAATACGCTAGCGTACCCTTTTACGAAGAAAAAAGAGAATACGAGGATCAGGCGAGGTTGTGTTTTATTCTTTCGACCAATAAAAGCCAAGCCAGAAAAGCAATCGGTATCGCTATTCCGAACAAAAATACGATTCTATTGGATTCGAATATTCGAAATATGTTGAGCAGGGATTCCCGATGGAGCGAGTAGCAGGGAATAATCATTTTTCAAGTTTTCCCGGGAGGTCAACGTCGAGTCCTGGTCAGAACGATGTCAACGAGACTTTTAGCGTGCTCTCGGTCGTCACGGCAATACCGTAGGCAAAGCACGAAGCCACGCAGCCCTCCGCCAAATAAAACAAAGCCGTAGCGACCGCGTGCGAGAGTTCACACCACGACCGCAGAAACGGCTGCCAAGCCGAGCAGAAATGTGTGCAGACATATCCCCGAATCCCCGGATCCCTCGAGCACTGACCGACCAATTAACCTTCTGCACATTCTGGGTCCTCTGCCTTTTCCAATGACCAACTCTCCATGCTTCACCTTTGCTATTCGTTCGTTGCTTCCTCTCGCTTATTTACAAAACGGTAAACTTTCCATTCGGACGTTCGTTTTCTCTCGTTGACATCTAAATGCTCCGAACGTATGTATGTACGTATCGTATAATAGAAAATTCCGTTAAGTCTAGAATTTAACATACTCGCATAAACCTGATACACGCCGTGTCGGAGAATACCTTGCGATTCGTTTCAACCAGTGAATTCCTGACTCGTTTGTTCTGCGTGTAAATATTAAAGCCGAAAATATCGGATTGCGAAGGGAATGCGAGCAGGCAAGCAAGCACGTCTCCACTTCTGACGTTGTCATTCTCCCCGAGGCATAAGCTTACCTCACATACGAAAGCACGTGTATCATGCATGCATTTTATATTACCGTCGCTTTTTCACTGCGAAACTCAGCTCCAAAAAATTCCCAACCTTTTTTCCATTCTGCGTCCGCAGCCACGCAACTCTTCCTCTTGTTCCTCTTTCAATCGCGACTTCAATCGTTCTCCTTAATTACGACGTCTTGGTAATTCCGGTGAAGTTAGCGTTCGACCCGACTTTTTAACGATGTACGATTCGCGACCAATAACCGCGTAGAAGAAAAGTCAAGGCACCAACTTTCCGCGAAGAGGTATTTTCATCGATCATTTGCAATTCCTCTATCGACGCCGTGCTGGCAAGTATCGCGTCCTGGTTCGACTAACTTTACGACGAGGCAACAGGGGCGAAGCAAAAGCGTAGAATTGCAATCGTAACCGAAACGATAACTCGTTTTCCGTAAGAAAAAAATTGCGGGTGATCCCTTAAAATTATAGAACGTTCGTTTGCTTAGCCTGGAAATCGGGCAACGCTCGCGTAAGCTTCTCCATAGACGACATCTGGGTCAACCTCGGTCGTTCGTAAATATCGGCTCAAAGTCGCACCGAGATCGAGTTTACGCGACCGCTTTAATAAAATGATCGCGTGAATTCGGTTCGGAAAAAACGACAAGTTCAGCCGCGATGGATACACTGGTCTGTGCCAGTAAGCGACTTTCAACGGGGAACGCGGACTTGCTATTGCGTACGACACGGTACACCGAAATCCGGGATTATCCGATCTTAATCCACGTAAGAGTGGCGAGTGACACGCGTGCATGCGGTAATACGCGACGCTAGGGTTCGCGTATGCGGCTAAGTTTGCTATAGTGGTATTCACCGGAAACCCAGTTAGGGCTAGCAATAAACTTTTAGTGGCCTTAGCCGACGCCAGACTTACCGTACGGAATTCCAGTTTAAATTGAAAATTCCACGCCGTGAAAAGGCCGGGCAAACTTCCACGACGTACATTAACGCGTGCCGTCAACTCGCACGGAATTAGAACGGTCGCGGAAAATCTTTTAAGCCGAGACGTGAATGCTGACCAAGATATTTCCTTGAATCCTGGTAAATTGTTATTTCTCGGTGGGATGCTTAACACCATCATCGCGTTACGAGATACGGGTTAATAGTCGCTGTATGCGCGATTCTCGATAATGAGCACCACAGGTCACGCAAGAGACAGGGTTTGCCCCGTGGTTTCGCGCATATATCCTGCTCTTGATCTCCCGATATACGCATTACCAACCGAAATGCATTCGCGACGATAATGCAATATCACGCGAATCGTGGACTACTCGCTTTCATCGTCTGTCACACCCTTGGGATCGGATCCTGCGAGACGTGAATTAAGCATATACATTCGGCGAAAATATATCGTAGCGGTGCCCTGTACGAATCGGGACAGAGAAATACGAACAAACGATGGTCAAGAAAAATGGAAACAGAGAGAGAGAGAGAGAGGATCTGCGAATTCGAATAATATTTGCGTGAATACGAAAGGTTTTATCGCGTGTTCAAAGTGTTGGAAGCCTCTTATTATACTTACGGAGAATCGCATAAGAACAACGGACGAAAAGGAGGGGGAAAGTAAAAACCAGCGAGGAGAATTCTTTAACGGAGAATTCATGCGACAAGGGAAAGAAATAACAAGTTCGATCAAAGACGCTGGACGTACGTCTAATTACATCGTTAAGGTAATCCGTTTTGAAATCCTTAAAGCGATTGTCCACGACAAGGAGACATTAAATGTACGCGGTAACGAATAGCTATGTACCTATATATTTATGTCGTAGAGTGAAATACAAGAAAAAGTAGGAAACGCTGGAAGAGAAAGAAAGCGTTAACTTGATACCTCGGATAGAAATGAAAACGAGAAATGAAACAAAGGAAAGCTGCAAGGAAGGTGAACACCTTAACAAGATAACCCGCTGGTTTGCGTTGAGAACTAAAACAGGAATCGCGCGACTAAAATACATAAAAGACAAAGAACGAGCAGGAATAAAGCGAATACCTTGGCGAATGGGTTCCTTAATGAAAGAAACAAATAAGCTAATAAATAGAAAAAGACCAAGAATAAAGTAAAACGTATTACAGGAGATACGGCAGAGGGAAGAAAGGAAAAGCACAGTAAAGAGAAATCAGCCAAGTTTTGCATATACGCGCGTTGAGTTGTGGCATGGACCGAGCGAAAATAGAATACGAAGGATGAGTTTACGCCGAAGGTACGTTTGCTGACGAGATGAACGTATAATTTTGAACGACTGGATTTTTTTAATGTTTCCGTTATTACGCGGTTATTCCTCGAGAGCTTTCCATTCAATTACGTTATCTTCGAGATCTTGGAATTTTATCGAAGAATTTCCTTTCGATTTCGTCCGCTGCTTTCGGTCGAAAATTTTTCTTCGCATCTTATCGTTGCATTTATGGCCGGTCGATCGAAAATACGGGTTTCATCTCGGTCAATCAAAATATCAAAGAGCGGATAACTTAACGATCTATCATTCACGATTTGCTCGATAGACGACCCATCAAACCATCCATCGCGAATCGATGTTCGAACGGGTTTAACATTAATTCAACTCGGTAAATTCGCGCTGCAATTCAGCGTCGTCCATTTCACGATTGCCGAGCGAACAAAGGAAAGCACCGCACTTGGACATTCACCTGCATTGTCTCTTTTTTCATCGCTTTGAGAGCGACATCGTGCCGCACGGTTGTTAGATACAAACACAAACAGACAGCGATGGTGTCGTGGACGACCGTTCGATTTGTGACAAAATGGATGCAACGGAACTTTTCAGCCAATGGATGTAAAAATAGATGAGACGACGGAAGTGTGGTTTTTTAACGAACATGCAGCGGCATCGATGACATTTTCCAATCAAAAACCATTATTTACCCGACTAACATGCGTCTCCATGTATCGGCCATTCATGCAATTCTATCGACAACGTACAAACGCTCTTTCCTTCATCGACATTGTCGTCTTAAAAAATCTATGATCGCTATTAATCCCGCGATAGATAAGAGAATCGTGAAAAATGATAACCGGATAAAAAATTGAAAAAATGCTCCTTCGAGGTCGTTGAGCAAATTCTTTTCAGATCGTTCCAAGAACGTCGAATCGTGGTCGTTCGAATGCCACTCAAAGTCCACTTAGGATCAATGTTCGGCCAATTTGTGAAATAACTTCGCAATGATGATATCACCGACCGTATGACACATATTTTTAAGCTAAGAAAGGAAGTAAGATATAGTTGAAACATGGTACGCATGTGGTGAAAATAAAATTTACATGCATGTCGTATAATGGCTTAAGTGCTTTCCTTCGCTGTCACGGTTTCTATTCGAACATCGTCTCTTGCTTTTCGTCCGTTCGGCACACATCGGTTTCGACGTATGACGAAAATATCGTAGGAGCCGTGCATACCACCGTTACTATTCGACCATCCACGGAAACGACAGGAAACCTTTTTCTTGCCGCGAAAACCTATCCAGCAGAAAGCTTTCTTGTCATGCGGTGCTTGCGACCCGTATATGTATACTCGCAGCTTTGCTGTCACGGAAAAACATGTGTCATGCTTATGTAACCCTCGCTAGAGGACAAACCGTCGTCAGTCGTTCGTCGTTCGTCGTTCGCCTGTCGAATGCAGCTACGGCAGCGTTAAAGTAGCAGTTCAGCGACTGGCGGAATGCGAATTTCAATTATCGAAACTCGTCCATGTAGCCTCTTCCAGTTCGTTTATGACAGGGGGGGGGAGGGGGGCGCGAAATTACGAAACGGCAAAGTCACATCGAACGGGACGCGTCGTTCTATATTCACGCCAACGATTGAAAAATTATAGACTGTCTGGTGGATTACAAATGGCAGACGCGACCAAGTGGATTGCCGGATTGTTCGTTGTAACACGGTCAGTGACGAGCAAATACCCGTGTGCGCGGCACGGTAACAATCGTCACCGTGTTCGTAGCCAAATACTTGTTAAGCGGATGAGATTCCGTCGCACCGGTTAAGCATCGCGGAATATTTAACGATCGATGGAATCCTGATACGATCCAACCGACAACGGATAAATTTAATGGTTTCGCAAATCCAGTGTCTTTCTCTTTTTATTTCTCTTTTTTTTTCATCATTTCCCTCTCGGAGCATCGGAAGTTTCTAAAACAAGTATCAGCGGGAAGACATCGAATACGTCAGCCTGTTAACGATGACAGCGGAGCCTCGATTCAATCTCGATAATCGAAATGTCGAAGGAAGATTACGCTAAACAAAGGTTGGATAAATTGTTCGGACGTAAAGCCGGGTAGAAAGAAGGGGTGGAAAGGAGGGACAAGGTGGAATTGAACGGAAAATCTTTCTTAGTACGATTATAGGGGTCATGCTTGCATTGGCGGCTGTACCCCATCTCGGTCTTCGCAAGGTTGCAAGCGGCTTACGGTTGCGAGAAGACGCGTGCCGAAGTCTTAAGGTGTCCTTAATCCAGTCGTGATCAGCAGCGTACCGCCCAGGTTCTACTCTCTCACCGGTTGATCCCTGGAAATTGGATCGATAAGCTCTTATTCGGTCCACCGCCTCCGACTGGATCCTAGCGGCGTTCGTCGAGTTGCTTCCACGATATTGCGACCGTTATTAGGTTCTATCAGTCGATGCGCCTACCTGTTCTCTAGTTCGATTCGACTCGCTTCGATTCGATGGAATTGTATGTATGTACAAACTTGCTGTCCGATAAGCGTCCATAAACGGAAACGCGCTCGTCCGGTCTTAGCTTTTCTCCATCTTTTGAACAGCAACATTTGCCAACGATCCAGACGTTATTGTTTTCCATAGGTTATCCGTTCCTGTTATTCGCGTCGTTAGCCCCTACGCGAGAAATTCAACATTTCTCACGGAAAACGCTTATTCGTTCTCAATGATAGATCGATCGAAGAAATCATCGTTGTTTTACATCGAACCGTTGATTTCTTTTTTTTTTTTTTTTCTCGCACGAGTAACAACACGCAGGTTTGTCACGACGAAATGCAACGGACAATGACGTGATTAGTGTAGGGTAAAGTTCAGCTAGACCAACTAATGGCTCTGGTAACACGGTCCGATTGAGTTGCTGGTGTTGTCCGAGTTTGACCTATCGTTGTTTCGCTCGAAATACGTTGCTGAACATGTAAACATTCCTGGATACATTGCGCTGTGGGATCGCTTTTTAACGAATCGTAACTCGAAGACAATGTGATGGAATCGTTCGACTTTCGTAAAATTCTACCCACTATCGTACGAATTTAAAGAAAAAGAAGAAAAACGAGATTTGAAGGTTTTTCTACGAATATAAAAATTCGATGCGATTAGTCAAAGCCCGCATCCTGGCGTAATCGCTGCTTTAATCGCTGTTACTTGTGCGGTTTAAACACGGTTACCTATTTTAAATAACTCGTTCGAAGAAAGCGTAGTTTACAACGAAGAATTAGCGAACGTCAAGTCCGTAGAACAAATTCTTTCTCGTGTGGCGTTTTTCGCGTGGTAAAAATGAAGTTTGCTGCTCGTTAAGGAGAGTAAAAACGTGGCATAGCGGTACCGCGCCGCTCTTCGATGATGCATAGAAATTACTGGACACGCGAATCGCTATGATTTCAAATTTATAGGACTATTATAGTCAAAAGACGAAGAATCGAAACTGATTGGAAATAATGGTGGTTTGCGATCGTTTGGTTTAGAGATAAACGAATGGAAAGCTTTCGAGAGAAACGAACGAGGAAAGAGAAAAAGCTGAACGGCGGCGTCCAAAAGACAGGAGAACGGTTTCTAATAAAACATGGCCTAGCCAGTTCCACTACCAACACCCCGACATTCTCAGCAGGACGTGGACACTATCGGTTTTATTTACTTTTATCGTGTTCCCCTTCTTCCATTCTGTGCACACTATTTCCTTCCATTTACTTTGCCGTCCACTTACTTTCTCATTTTTGTTCCTTCGTCTGCTATCGTTCTTCTTTTATAACCTAGTCTGTGTATCAGAAAGAAGAAGACCGATGAGAGTAGAGGTCAGAGGGAATAAAATAGAGTTTAGGTCTTTACGAGAGAAACAAGTAAGTACGTGGATCATCGTTCGTGAGTAAACCGCGACCAATTCTCACGGATTCGTAATTAGAAAGCTTGTATAGGGATTAAGAGTGTCGATTATTTTGAAGAGAGCTCGATAACCGTTTTAAATTACAGTTTATAAAAAATTAATGTTAAGCTGGACGGGAAAATTACGTATAAAATCAGAAAAACGACGGAACGATACGACGCCACTCCGAGTTAATTTATTCATAGTGGCGTTAAAATATTCATTGAACGCGAAAAACCGACGCTTTTGTTACTTGTTTTTCAAACTGTGTACATCAAACGACTATATCGATTAAACTTATAAATTATGATTTCATCCTGCTAGTTGCCAGCGTATCTTCCGACGTTGTTCAAACTCTTTGGACAAGGATCCTAAAGGAATAAGTAGAAAAATCCGATTTAACGCTAACACGGTACTGTTAACATTAAATAACTGTTAGCGAGCATTTTGCCTGGCAGAAAATCCCCGATCGCTTACAGATTGGCACGATTTTGCTAGTCGGGACTATCGGAACGAGGTCGTTTTCCATAACCGTTAGAACAAACGACCCGCCGATAACGAGTCCCATAAATCCGCGAACGATCGCCGAAATCGACTTGTTTCCAGTTTGCAACCGATATTTCACGGTAGGTATAATTTCATTGTTGTATGCGCGTTTTCACAGTGACGAGCGACACAGTGACATTCGATAAATATGAACGGCGAGATTATTTGAATTGCGCGTTATACGACCCAATTAGTACCTGCACCGTAATTTTTTCGACGTATTCCCTTCCCGTACACGTGTACGTAATCCGAGTTTGTATTCGCGAGTCCATCGTGTTTTCTCTCCTCGCGCGCATCTCGGTACACGCGATCACCCTACGAATAAAACGGTAACCGAGTTCCATCCAACAGAGAACAAACGATAAATTATCGGAATTGGCTTTAATTCGCACTGTCGTTTCGACAAATAATCTTAATTGCGGCCATAGCAAGATGTTTTCACAATTTCAATTTATTGATCGATATAACGACCGCCACCGCAGCAGATTCACCTTCGTAAATTAATTAGTAGATGTAATTCACTTCCGGTGGGTAATAACGGATTGCGAAGGTAGTTTTCTGGTTCGGCGGTGAGCGCTAAATGACAATTTACCTAAAAGCAAATTCACCGGTTATTGCGGAGAGCTGTGGAAACCTCGAGGCTAGTGGTGAACGCACACGCTGCGCCGCATTCGGTCACATCTGCCCGCGCGTCTCGTCTTTGTCCATTCGGATTTTAATCATCCGCGTATAATCTCTTTCTTTCCGTTTAATCTGCTTCGTCCAGGGAGAAATTAATGGATCGTGAACTCGGTCAGCACCGCTGGACGCTGACTGTGCCGTCGCACGAACCCCATCGTCTAACCGTACTAAAATGATTAAAATTTTTTTCGAACATTCGTTAACGACTTGCCAAGGAGCCTGAAGAAAATCCGAGACAAACGAGCACCGCGGAAAACAGAGTTTCGATTCCGGAGTTTGTAAGGAACGGTGAAAAATGGCTGGACGTTTTGATGCATCATCGTCGAGTCTAACCGTCCCAATTTTATACGCGCAAACATATCCTCGTAACTAATAAATCTTTCGCCCCGATTGTTTAGCTAATTCCCACGCTTGCACAAATACCAACTAAATTGTCATCGGTAAGGCAACAAACAGCGTTGTCCTTATTTTAATGGCTCCCTTTATGCTCTTTATGCGCGATTTTAGAATTAATTTGCCGGCAACGGTAGCGGTAACGGAACGTGCGTTACAAATCACGCGTAATTCGCAATAAAGCGTCGTTACAGAACATTATTGTTCCGACAGGGTAGCGGGAATAATTAGCAGGCGATAGCGAGGCGCAAGGGCGATAAATTGCTCTTTTGGGGCATCGCTTTATCTCGTCGGCGACGAATGGAGAGCTCGGATTGCAAAGAAAAACTGAAAATACGAAGACGACACAAAACCCAATCCAAGAGAATTCATATCGATTCTATTCAACGAAGAATCGACTCGATTAATTTTTCGATTTCGCCTGATTTCAGGCTCGATTGTACAACCATGAGAGACCGTCCTTCTTGTCTCTTCTTCTGTTTCGAACAGTCGCGCTGCCACGATCCTTCTCTCCAGCTTTCTTTCTCGTCGCGTCGCGTTGCCCCACCTCTACCCTGTTCCGCTTGAATTTCGTCTTAATGGCGACGTAACGTTCTATTTATCGCAAGATAGAAAACTGGCAGAAGTTGAACGCGTTCAGTTAACCAAGTTCCGCGCGGCTCCGTGTCGACGGAAAATTACAGCTATTAATCGTAAAACTGTTTTCATTAGTCGGTTTCTTTCTTTCACGACGGTACATATTGACCGGTCAGAAAGGAAAACGCGCACAGCAAGGCAATTCCATTCGCCAACTGGTTACTTTCATCGACAACGTCCGCGACGTTTTTCCAGCCTTCCACCCGGCTTGCACGTAAATTAGATATGTGCGCGCGCTTGTTCAATCAATTCGGTCCACGTACACAGGGGAACGTTTTCGATATTCGCTTCATCGATTGAAGTCCTGCATGAATGGCCAGTGCATTCGGTCGGTCCATTCCAACGACACAGCAACAAGATTGCTGGCCAAGAAATATTTGCGTGATTTTTTCTAGCCGGAAACCAGCATATATACGTGGACCTGTGCGACTCGATAACCGTGTGAGGGCAAACGATACAAGTGGAAATAATCATGGATGAAACGGTTGCGATCGCCCCTTTCGTTCTCCGAAAAGCGAGAAAAGTAACGGTAAAGTTGTACTCTCGTGTCTGAAATACGGACGATAAGCTGAGAAACGGACGATAACCGTGTGCTCTATGTAGCGAAACTCTGACGATCGTTCTGATCTGACGAAGATCTGACCTGCAAGAAAGGAACAAAGCTCAAGGAAGACAACTATCGATTCTTGTAATGCGTAACGTTTGATTAACGAGACGCTTTTCCGCACAATTACGTCATTGCGATACGTCGACGACGATAGGATAGGTGGAGGAAGCGTTGACAGACGTCTATCGCCATGAAGGCGAACGATGGGAGGCGTTCACCCTTTTGTCGTGATCGGATAAGCCGATAACAATGGAGATAATGAAGGTAACACCAAGCCGTAGAAATTATGCGGCGGACTAACTAGAATAGACACCGTTCGATGCTTCTTTTTGTTCTACAATTCGGCTACTCTACAGACTCTTTATCGTTTTACTACTTTAACATTGCCGACTCAATGTACAGCAGAAAAATACGAAATACTACAATGTTTTCTTAAAAATACAGTGTTTATGACATAAAAGATTTTGATCAATGAACGCTTAAAATAATTCCGAATTACGAGCTTGAAATCTAGGAATTGAGACTATAATACTCTAACGTCTAAAGCAAGTTAAACATTTTTATCCTATAATTTAAATTCAAACCTTTCAGACGTTACTCGGGCAGGAAAACAAATATTGATTATTTCTCGAACGATGTCTTTCGATTGGTAATAATTCGAATGAAAAATACAGGGAATAATATAAATTAAAAAATAGTATGCAAAGCACTTACATTTTCGATCAGCTGCGGAAGTTGAATCCTCTTGAGAGAAGCACTGACTTTGAAGCATTACGTGAATATTTAGAAATGAGATTATACATACATACATAGATGTATATAAAGCAAAAGGAAAAGAAAAAACTATCAATGTAGTCGTTTACTTGACAATCGGCAAACTCTGACTCGAACGTTACGACGCCACGTACAATTATAATTCAACTTGATGATAATAAACACTGATTCTATCGACCGCATTGCACATAATCACACACGTTCTCTGAAAGTATGAAAAAGAGGATAAAAGTTACTGAAAAATTTCTTTAGTTTCTTTTATACTTTCATGTATGATTTCTCAATAAAATATTGAATTGTGAGTAATGAATATTGTATCGTAAACTAAATGCCAATCACGCCATTTATCACACATATCATCGATAGTTCAATAATATACATACCTTCGTACTTCTTTCTTTCTTTCTTTGTTACAATAAATTGAATCAAATTTCCATGATAATGATCGATTAACCATAACTCATCGTAACGTTCATACGATAAAGTTATATTTTGTCAAAGTCGTCATCTTCGCGATCGATCACTAATCTGTATAAAAGAAAAACAAAAATTAAGGGTAGATACATAGAATTAAAACCAATTAGATTGAAATGAAACAATAAGCGAACTCATTGTCAATCTTCGTTTCAAAAGGCAATGATCAAGATACCGGTAATTCTAACCTCTAAATGCGCGACCAAACAAGAAAGAATAAGAAAAGTTGCAAAGACTATTTAATCACGTAATGATATTCAACAAATTATTTTATAAACGCGAAGTAATTAAACAAAGTTAATAATACCGTGTAAATAGTAGCAGAATGTGGTATAATGAAAATCATACACAGCCGATATGCGACACTGACACGTCTTAAGCAAGGCGACACATATTATTTCCTTGATGCCCCGCAGGGCGCCCCCCCCCCCCCCCCCCCCCCCCCCCCCCCCCCCCCCCCCCCGCCCCCTCCCCCCCCCCCCCCCCCCTTCTCT